TTACAGGCAGGATTTTTATCAGCCTTCTGGTCTTCTGAGCTCTGACCAGAATCTCCCATACAGAAAAGCCAAAGGCATTCCAGCTCTTCACTAGTAGGTGACATCTCCAAACCTTTCCTGTCTCTTCCCATAAGCTATTCCCAAAAGCACATGACAACATGGTCAGGTATGTAGTCACAAAAATGACCACGCTTCTCTGGTACCAAATTCTGTCTCAGTTACATTTTACTCATTGCTGGGACAAAATACCTGACATCCAAATTTACGGAAGGAAAGGTTTATTTAAAGCTCACAGTTTGTGGAGGTTTCAGTCTATACTCGCCTGACTCCCATGCAGAGTGGCACATGGCGTAGAGTAGCAGTTCATGGCAGCTGAAAACAGCAAAGAGCAAAGGGAAGGGCAGCAGCTGCAGCTTTTAGCCATTCTTTCTCCCCTCATATTATAAGCAGGCTACTACCCTGGAGAAGGGGTGTGGAACTCACACAGTATTTGTGCTCTCCTCTTACACAGAATGAGGATGTTTTCTAAGAAAGAATCCTGACTCTCTGCTGAGTCACTTAATTAAACATCTAAGCTTCTCAAATTAAAACATTGACACAGTGTATCAGCCAGTACGCTTCTCTACTGTAGGAATTCTCTACATTAAAATATCTTATCATCTTGTTATTGGATCAGTAGTTTATTTACTGTCATAGACTTCACCATTGTCAGGAGAATTTTTATCAGAAATAGAAGCTAAATATCTTGACTTGTACCATGAAGCAGTTTGTAAATTAGAAGAACCATTTTTAAATACTGTGTTTGAGTACTGACTGGCTTTGGAAATTAGCTTTTGGTGCAGACTTGATCCTGGATCTTAGTGAATACAACTTAAGATTTCAAGGCACAACTGTGTATATTTGCAAAACATATATTGTGGTAAATTCATTTCTGAAACACCATTGCAATGATGAAAAGTATTTTTATTATTATTATTTTTTAATGTATTCGGTACAGGGTCTCATTATGCAGCTCGGACTCAAGTTTATCCTCCTGTTTTTAGCCTCTCCAGCACTGGAATTACAGGCGTGCGCCACCACGCCTGGTCTCCGTGGCTGGCTCAGTATGCCTGGGTGTGAGGCCCCAAGAGGCCTATGGTGCCAGGGCTTGAATCCTGATCCCTGGACTTACCTAAACAGGTGGTTAATCCGTTGAGGTATCTCGCTGGCCTGAAAAGTTTTTTGTTTTTAATAAATGAAAAGTTAAAATAACTGGACAAATTTACAAAGCTTAAGGAAATGTAATGTGTTTAAGTTCTGTGTTTACTGATTGTGTTACTCAACAGCATATACGTGACATCTTAATTCCCATGTATTTTTGCAGCATCAGATGCATTATCTGAGCTGAAATTACAGTTTAGTGGTATTTTTCTGACGTTAATTTGAACATAAAGAAAATTTACATATTTCTAAAACTACCTAAATTGTATAATTGCAGATCTTCTAATATTCAGAAGTTTTTAATTTGAAATATGATACGTTAAAAATGCACATATCAAAAGCAGAATCTAGTAGACTTCTATAATACTTTCTATAATGAAACAGATTTTTATAAATGCTTTTTAAATGATGAATATACTCATTAAAATGAAAGGCTTTTAGATGATAATATTTGGCAGTATCTATGAAAATCATTTTAAAAAATCATAAAATCTCACTATAGATCAACATTAAGAGATAAACTTTTTTGTTATGAAGTACTGTCTCCTATGTAGTTTGGCTTTGAATTCACAATGTTGCCTAGGCTGATGTCAGACTTGCTACGATCCTCCTGCCTCAGCCTCCTGAGTGCTGGGATTCCAGGCATATGCCACCACACCTAGATGTAAGAGATAAGCATTTACAATCTATTATAATTTTAGAGAATAGTAGCTTTGAACCTCAGTTATGTGAAAAGTTTCTTTTCAATTTCAATTAATAGGTAGACCTATATCATAAAAAGTTGAGCTAGATACTATTACATTTTAATATTATCAATATAATATTGTCAAAGTTTTTTGTCTTTAACAGACTCACTTTTTTTTGTCCCATGCAGCCTAAAATATATGTTATATGAATGTTTAAGGAAAGTGCTGATATATGGATTAAAGTGTAGATAGTGTAGATGTTTGCTTTAGTCTTTAAAAAAAAATTTCTTTAAAGATGCCAACCTGTTTCTGTTTTTTCTTTAGTAATAAATTTACTGGGACATGAAAAAGTACCTAATATTTTAGAAATAAAATTATATAATAAAATCATCTTTTTATATGTTTCTTTGAATTTTTGTATTATATTATTATATATACTATTATCTATTTCCCAAAGGTGCCCCTACCTGCATAAGTTGGTAACCAACTACGAATTTGAATTAAGTGTTTAGGATTTTGCTAAAATTCTAGTGAAGAAGTAATAACATTATATGTTTAATTAAAATTGTTATTTAAATTCTTCTGATAAAATATTTTTTCTGTATTTTAGGAAAGGGTCTACAGAGTGTTCATCATCTCACTACTAGATCAGACTCATAGTAATTCTCCTGTTTATAGCCTTCCAAGTGCTGGGATTACAGGCGTATGCCACTGCACCAAGTATCAGTCGCCTTCTCAGTGTGCCCCAGGGGCGGGGCCAGCATGGCAGGCCCAGGCATTGAACCCCCTAATCTGTTAAGCTATTTGGCTGGCCCATGATAAAAAATTTAATTCAAGTCATAATCCATTCTATGAAGCCTAGTATTCCTGTTTGTACTAGTTAAATGTTTATAGAGAAAAATTGAAAGCCTAAATATGTAAACATCGACATTCTTAAATAATAGCCTTTGGAATGATGCTTTGTGTTCCATGATGCCCTCCCAAATAAATGGGCAAATCTTAAAAAGGCTACTAGTATTCTTTGGCTACTAGTAAGTCCCTCCTCCAGCATAATAATGAAGACTCTTTTAGTGCTTAGTACCTGGAATATTGACAAACATCATTAAATGTTTTCTGTAGTTTTTTCATAAACAAAAAATAACATTTTTATTACCATTGTACAAAGAGAAATTTGTAATTTGTAAATTGTTATTTACAAGGTAAATAAATGTGGATGGAGTGTTCAGAGACAAATACTTGGAAATAGTTTTGAGAACATTTAATATATATATATGAATACTTACTGCTTTAAATTTGAAATATGTTTTATTCTGTCTTAGTTACTTAATCTTTTTGCTAAGACAAAATGCCCAGTTAAAAGAGGAAAAGTTAAAAGAGGAAAAGTTTATTTTGGCTCACAGTTTGTAAAGGTTTCAATGCGTAGCTGACTGGCTGGCTCCAAGGCAGGGTGGCGTGGCAGAGGGGCCTTGCAGAGGAGAAACAGCTCATAGTGGACAGAAGGCTGGAAGGCAGCAAGTGCTGAAGTAGTAATAGCAGCAGCAAGGGACAGATGACGCACAGTGATTGCCTTTTCCTTATAATCTGCCAGGCTCTCTACCTTTCCAGCAGGTAGTATTCACTGCCAAGGTGGGGCAGCCTTATTCCTAGCATTGTACCACGAATCAGTCCCAACATCACATCTTTTAATTCCAGCATCATATCTCTTAGATCACCCACCTCTGAAGAGCCCCAACTGTGAACACAGGAGGTTTTGGGGGACATCTAGATACAATCCATAACACCACATGAAGTCATTTGTTTCTTTCTTTTTCTGTTGTTGTAGTACTGGGGATTGAACTCACGACCTTGCGCTTGCCAGTCAAACGTTTATTCTACTGAGCCCAGTCACTCATTTCAGAGTGGCTTGTCATATACAACATAGGCAAAAACAAATATATATATGGATAATAAATAACTAGACATAGTGCCACTTCCTATACTTATAGTACTTTGAGAGGCTAAGATAGGAAAATTAGAAATTTGAGTCCTACCTGTGAAGTTTAGTGACTCCCAATTTGTTCTGTGCTAATGTCTTCTGCCCTTGTTATGGGTAGGCTTGGGGTCTGAGATTGCATTTTGTGCTTTCTCATTGTCATTTTGTATAAAACTGTCTTCTGACCTTTGTTGTAGAGCTTTGGTGCAGATATAACCTTAGCACCTACTGAAGTTCAGGTGCAGATCTACAAAGTTTGAATTTATCCAGTTGTGCCTGGCTTGGGTCTGGCTGCTATGCTCAGCTCCTTCCTGCTGCAGCCCTTGGGAGTGAATCTGTTGTGCTCCTCTGGCAAGATGTTCTGCTCCTGGACTAGCTGTGTGGGTCTGTCCCCTATTCTCTCTGCAGGGACTGCAGCTGCAGAGTTTCACCCCAGGCCTGTATGCCAGGCCTGAGCTGAGTCTGAAGGGGACAAGGGGAGTGGGGGAGAGGGGAAGCTGTCCCACACACTTGCTGGGCTTGGGCTAGGGCTGGATCTGGGGGGTCCCAAGAATGCAGCAGAAGTTTTCTCACTCAGTGGGTGTGGAGGGGGGGGCTGTGGAGTGGTGCTGGAGGTCCCAGTGGTGCAGAAAGGGTCTCACTCATGCTGCGCCTGAGTTTGGATGGGACAGGTCCCGCAGGCGCAGGGTAGCCGGAAGCTCTCCCACACACTCATCGGGCCTGGGCTAGGGTTGGATCTTGAAGTTTAGTAACTGAGGGAGATGTGTCTTTTTAAAAAAAAAGGAGGGGGAGCATCACATTGCAAAAGCCTTTGGTTCAGGTCCCAATGCTGAGAAGGGAGGGAAAAAAAGGAAAGCAGAACCCATATATAGATAGATAGATAGACATATATATAAACTATTATAATTAGATATTATATGCTAATATATAATAGTGTGTATAATTATATATACACATATATACATAATATATACACATACACATGCATACATACATATATGTATGGTAATTTTGTCACTAAACATTTTCAGAGAAATCCTGAAATGAGAAAGTTTTCTTAATATATATCATTTGGCATGTTTTTTTTCTTAAGTAAGTATCTTAATATCTGATTTAACTTTGATTTAAATCCTGTTTTGTAGATGAAGCATTGGATGATTTAAAATCCCAGAAGAAAAAAATAGTAAGTTAACTTTTACTTAAAGTTAATTTATATGAACAACTAAATTAAGAACTGGATAATTAATGTCACTATGCTATAATTTAATGACTTTTCAAGTAACAAACATTCTTTTAGATAATATTTTACTGATAAAAGTTAAAAGTATGAATATTTTTACTAGTTAATAATTATTGATAGGAAAAGTAGGTTAGATGGAATTTGAAAGTCTGAGAATCTGTGTCACCTGTAATTAAATAAGCCATACTGGAGAACTAAATGAGGGAAAGAGTAAAATGATGGGTACCCAGGTTGCTTATTGGATTGTTTATTAGGTATTATGGACAAAGTATCTGTATTTGCCAGTTGTTAGGCTTTCTTGATACCATAAGTTCAAGAAATAAAGAATCAAGAAGATTGGTATAAGAGACAAATTCAACATTAAAAGCTGAAACAGGTTGGGAAAGATAATTTTTTTCCCTCACAATTTTCTACTTTCTGCCAGTAACGCTGATCTCTTGGGTGATTATATCAGACCAGTTAATGGCATCCTTTGTATGTGTTGGAAAGAGAATCATGAGTCAGAGGAAAGTGTTTGGAGATGGAAATATAGTGAGCTGATCTTGGTGCTTAACTTGGTGGCCTTACATTTTCAAAATATTATTTTAAAGCATGAAAATAGTTGCTGATAGTACTACATATTATATGGAAACTTGTTAAATCAAGTTAAATTGTTTCAGTGATCAGTGCATCTTTTATCTAATATGTAGTAAGTTGTATTTGTCAGCTCTTCAGAATTTTGATACAATACCTGAGATGATTTATAAAGAGAGGACAGGTTTACTTGGCTCATAGCTTGTCTGTGATTGCTTAGTCCTGTGACCTTGGGCCTGTGGTAACCCAGCACATCATCGTGGACACATGTGTTGGAGAATGTCTCTTTACCTCATGGCAGCTGAGAGGCAAAGAGAAGAAAGAGAGCAAGAGACTGGGGTTCCAGTATTATCTTCAAAGGGATATTTCTAGTAACCTCTTAAGTTCTACTTCCTAAAGGTGCCACTACTTGGATAAGTTGGTAGCCAAACTTTAACATTCAGATCCAGAGTATAGAACAAGTAACAATTATTTATGGAACTAATGAAAATGATGGAGTAAGTTAAATGTTAAAAATTGTTCTATGAGTAAGTAATAAAAGGTATTAGTTTTTAGTGCTTTAAGTATGGAAAAGTAACTTTAGTAATGAAAGATTCCTTATGTATATTTATTTGATGCCTCCTCAATGTTTTGTGGGATATTTGTTGAAATTGCCTTGACAATTTTGCTGTATCTGTATTAAAGAAGTATGTTCACTGTATCTTGTTTATTTTTACCACTTTACATATTATGGAACAACCAGAAATTCAGGCACAGGAATACTGATTATTTCACTGATATAGGAGTTGTGGTAGGTTGGTTGGCTTGCTGATGAGACAAAAAGAAGTGCTGAGAATAGTAATGAGAGTTAAACCCTGCCAGTACCAAACTGAAAGGTAATGATTCAAGCATTTCCTTTTTACCTGGGGTTTTGCTTCCAGAAATAAGCAGCTCACAAGTTTATTTTTATTATAGTATGTTGTGATCTTTAAATTTTATATTAGTTAATACTGTAAATTTGTTATGCCTAATTTATAGAATAAACTATTATAGGTAATGGGTTTGGTACTTTCTGAAATTTCAGGTATTTCTAGGGGTCTTGCAATATATCTCTCATGGATGAAGGGGGACTGCTGTACAAAAAAACGAAGAGGAAGACAAAAAAAAAACCAAAATAATATCAGACAAAAAAACAAAACAAAATAATATCAGTAATCACATGACCAGAAAATGAAACCTTAGAGAATGTGATTGGCGAAGATTTTGTAGAATAGCGGAGCAGACTTGAAAAATTCTGTGAAAGCCGAGCTCTGCTATTTCAATCGCCCTTGAAGGAATTATGACATAAAAAATACATCTGACAGCAGTTGGGAAATTCAGTTCAGTGGCTTATAACTGTTGTATATCAGTATTACAAAATAGTTCAGAGTGGCATTGCTCTTGCAATATGACTAAAGGAAAGTAACTTGACTTTAATTAGCTTTATTAATTAGAGAACATAATATTTTATCTACTTGATTGTTATTGGTTATAATACTCTGGCTGTTAGGAGCTACTCCTTGAGTTTTATTGTTCATGCCCTTAACAGAACTGCTTTGTTTGGAGTAGCTTTACACGTCTGGAATAATAGGCGCCAAGGGTGAATTAGTAACCAGCTCAGTCCTGTGATCATTCTAGTAGTGAAAGGCAAAAGTGGGATACTGTTATTTTTTGGGGGTTATATTGTTTTTGAGCAACAGTTAAATATAATTAAAATGACTTTGTTCACTGACATGTAGGTTTAAATAATGGTTATTAATCTAGTTATCTATGTCTCATCACTTCCCTGTTAACAAAATTGATACAAGTTATATTTACTATTTTGTGTTTTACTATAGATGATTTCCTTAGGGATTCATCTCTTTAATCTGGATAGGTTTGCAATATAATTTGAAATTTATAAAAGTTAATTTGTCATGATGAATATGAATTACCAGTTGGTTAAAAAGTTGTTATTTAGAAAGGAAAATGAGTTAGCATCTTGGTTTACATTTTAAGAGTTTAATGTAAATATTTGCTTGTGAAAATCTAGGAATTAATCTTTAGTTATGTAGAAATTCCAAAGTTTATATTTTGCCACTTTGATTCTTTAAATTTTTTTTTAGTTTTTTATTTTAATCACTGTATAATTTGTACAATACTAGATAATTCCTTTGCATTCATGGTTATTGTTTTAAACCAGTTCAAAGTAAAAACTTACCAAATTGCAGAAGTCAAAATTACCTCTTTAAATGGCTTCATGAATAATGTTTCTATTTGGTAATTCCTGTCATTTCTCAGGAAATTTATGTTCCTCCAAAGCCTAAGAAAAATCAGTTGAGAGATGGGGAACATGGGGGAAAATGTTATGAGTCTCCGAGAATTAAAATCCATTAATCAACTACAGATGTTACTGATTGATGGACTTTTTAAGTATCAGTTGAAAGCAAGAGCAAGAAATGCTGACATGCTGAGCCATACATTAATGACAGCATTTCCAGGGTTTAGGACAGGAACATGTAGAAGTGGCACAGGCGAATCAGTGTGGGTCTTCTGGCCATGTTGTAAGAATGCTTTTATGGCCCTATCTTTTATTAATAGCAAGTCATTCTTGCAAGCAAATATTAATATGTTTTCATGTAGTATAATTTAAGTAAATCTTGTGAATAATATTCTACCAAATAAGTTTGGAAGCAAAAATAAGTCCATAAATTAATTGGTAGTATCAGCATCTTTTTTTTTTTTTTTTTTTTTTTTCAGAACTGGGGATTGAACTCAAATCCTTGCATTTGCCAGTCAAGTGCTTATCCTACTGAGCCATCTCCCCAGCCCCATAGCATCTATTTTTGTATAGAGTTGTAAACATCGCTGGACGTTTCAAATTATAATTGTATATTGCCAAATAATATTTGCTGGTGTTTTCTAGGGTTTAAATATTGACTAAAGGCTACATATTAACAGAAGAAATACACAAAAGAAAGCATGTTTAATATTCTTAGAAATCAGAAAATGATATAAAATCTGAATTAATAAAAACATCAATTTCAACCATAAACCAAAATTAGAGCAGACAGGATTTTCATCATCCTAATAGTAGAAGTTTATATGGTAGAATGTTCTCTAATACTTTGATTTGAAGATGCTTTTGGATGTACTTTTTTTTTTTTTTTTTTTTTTTTGGCAGAACCGAGGATTGAACTCAGGCCTTGTGCTTGCCAGGGAAGTGGTTATTCTACTGAGCCATCTCCCCGGTCCCCTGGATGTACTCTTAATAATTTGACAACTTAAAAGAAAGCTTGATATATTCAGCATATTTTTTATGAGCTAAAGGATGTTGGATTGATTAATGCTTTGTGTGTTTTAAAATTTTCATTTTTTTAATTAAGATATGTTTGTAGTACCTGATTACACTTATTGTGGGGTGTTGGTACATGTGCATAATACATTTTAGTTCTTAATTCTTTTTAGAATGATATTGTCAGTGTTAGATATTTATAGAATTATGCTTCACAATTTGAAAGATTACTTTGACATTTCTCTCATATTAGGCCCCCCCTCCTCTCCCAAGCCTTTTGGTGCTGGGGATTGAGACCAGGGCCTTTCCACTGAGCTACATCTTCAGCCTTTTGATTTTTTTTTTTTTTTTTAATTTTGAGAGATGGTCTCACTAAATTTTTCACTTGCCCAGGATGGGTTCAGACTCATGATACTACTGCCTCAGTTTCCCAGAGCGCTAGGATTATAAGTGTGTGACACCACATTCAACTAGTGTTTTCTTCCTTTAAATGTTGTCTGTGATAGAAATTATATTTACACGTCATTGAATAGAATCTTGTTATAGTAGTGTTGATTCATTAATTAATTACTTAGAGATGGAGTTTTCCCTTTTTTTCTCCTGGCTAGCCTTGAACTCCTAGATTCAAAAGGATACACCTGTCTCAGCTTTCTGAATAGCTGGAACTACAAGCATGCTTCATCATACCCAATTTGTTTAACTTTTTATTTTTATTTTTATTTTTTGGTGGAACCAGGGATTGAACTCAGGCCTTGCGCTTGCCAGGGAAGCTCTTATTCCAATGAGCCATCTCCCCAGCCCCTTGTTTAACTTTTTAAATAAAAAAGCCCATGAAGCTTTTAGTAATACCTTATCACAGAAAGATTCACTCTTTATAATATCACTTACTATGCTTAAAACACATTATGAAAAGTAGAGGATAGTAATTCAATGATTTAAGAAATCCTCACAAATTCCAGGTTTTCATTCCTGAATTCTTAGATTCATAGGATATTTAGAAACGCAGTTTCAGATCCATTCCAAATAATAGAAGTATCACTAAAAATTTTGTGTCAGTGTTTTACTCATTGTTGTAGACTCTTTCTCCATTAGTAACTTCTAGACTGGTGCTATGAAGAAAACAAACAAAAGCATATATATATATAATTTTTTCCTCTCTTTTTTAATGTATTTGGTACAGGGTCTCACACAGCTTGAACTTACAGTGACTTTCCTGTTTCAGCCTCTGCTGGGGTCACAGGCATGCATCACCACGCCTGGTCTCTGTGACTGGCTTTGTATGCATGGGGTGGGAGCTGCGTGGCATGCTATGCCATGGATCAGACCTGGGTCCTTGAGCTTGCCTAGGCAGACGCATACACCACTGAGCTATCTCTGTGGCCCCTACTTTTCTTACAAGAAAACCCAAGTGACAAACTTGCTCAGTATTTCTAAGAATAGAAATAAGCTTTGAAATCCCCACAACCCCTAGCACTGGAGATTGAACTTCACTAAACTATGTCTCCAGCCCCTGAAACCAGATTTCTTCTGATTTTCTAATTTGAACTCCTTTGAACCTCTGTTTCAAACATACTATTTATTTAAAATGTGGATAAAAAATTATGTGAATAAATGTGTGAAGTAAGCTATTAAGAAAATCTTTTGGTTAGATATAACTGCAAAAAAAAAAAAAAGGAACATGGATTTTTATCTTTTAGTACTTTTATTTTTATTTTTTTTCTTTTAGTACTTTTAAATAATGATTTTATGTAAGATAAGTAAAAATAGGAGCACACACATGAATATCCACTAAGGTGGCAGGAGTTGCAGTTACTTATTGAAGTAGTATTTTGGTTCTGAGTTTTTTTTTTTTTTGTGGAACTGGGGATTGAACTCAGGCCACTGCGCTTGCCAGGCAAGTGCTTATTTCACTGAGCCAACTCCCCGGCCCCTAGTTCTGAGTTTTTAAAATTTATTTTATTTCATTTTTGTGCCTGGCTTAGCCCACCCTGAAGGCAGGGCTGGCGTGGCATGTACTGCTGGGGATTGAACCATAGTCCCTGCACTTGCCTAAGCAGGTACTTTGTCCCGTTGAGCTATCTTGCTGGCCCGTTGGTTTTGATTTTTACATGTTATTTTTATATTTAGTTTTTGATACTGGAAGTCAAATTCAGGACCTTGTGCTTGCCAGGAAGATGCTATCTCCCCAGACTTGCATGTCACTTTAAAAGTCACAATTGTATCTGTCCTCTTTAAACTAAATATAAGTTTTCATCTAGACCTGTGCTGTCTAAATCAGTAGCCAGTAACACGATGTAACTATTTAAATTTAGTTATTTAAAATGAAACAATACTAGAAACTCAGTTTCTCAGTCACACAAACAATATTTTAAGTGTTTACTTATCATTTAGGTCTTAATGACCTCTGTTATGGCAGTATAGGCCATTTCCATCATTTGTTAAAACACCAAAAATCTAATTTGCAGAGATGAGAGATGTAGTTCTTTGGTATTACATGTGGATGATTATGTATTATACCCTTTCTCTATTTCCATTCCTAGTTTTTTCCCCTAAAACTCTGAAATTACAAATATTTCTTTTTTATTAGACAGTACAACTTGTTTGCTTTGAAATTTTATCATAGTTTTGAAATAATTAAGAAAACTCTTTTCACTAAACTGAGGTTAATAAATCATTTAAGAAGCCCTTAGCTTTTTAAATGTTGAGTTGAGTGTTTAATGAGGAATCTATTAACTACTATTGTGGCAGCATATTTTTAACTATGTTTTAACTTAGTAAATGTGTTCTGGGTCGCATTTTAAAATAAGCGTCTTTTGGAATGAATATGACATTTAATGAATCTAAGTGGTTATTAGTGGTCACTGAGAAGGAAAAGGTCCTACTCCAATTTTTCCAAAAGCATTTTATCTTACATGTTAGATATTTGTCATAACTGTGACTGTCTTGTACTAAATTTTTTCTAACATTGGGCTGTAACTGCTAAAATCATACTTTATTGGTGATTACTTTAAAAATTAAATCCACATATTAAGCTATAAAGTAACTTGAATACATGGTAAATAAAATGCTACAATAATGAAGTGTTTTAATTATAGGCCCTAATGTCAGTAAAATTCTTATTTAAATTCTATGTTCAGTTTTTTTCCTCTAAAATTGTTTAAATCTAAGCTAAAGAAACAAGGGTGGGTTGGAGTTGCTGTGGGCTGGGGAGGGCTTTAGCTTTTAAAGTCATTTGAGCAAATTCCATGGCTGTTCTCCCAGTTAGTGAGTTTGCACTGTATTTGCAGCAAGCTAATCGCTTCTGCTAATAAATAATCTAAAATCGATGCTGACAGCACTTAATTGGCACAGAGATTTTATTTTGTAAAGCTCTTGGCTAACGACCTTCTTTAAATTAATAGCATTAAGTGCTGTGAGGAAATAAATCTGAGGAATTGCCTGTCATTTGCTTGTCATGTCTAATAACTTCCAATAATGATGGCTGATAGATTTTTGCACATTCCATTATTGAAGTTGGTGCATGTAATTATTCTCCTCATTATATGTAAACAATTAGCAATATTTGGTATTTCCTTGCAGTAAAGCTGTTAAATACAAGTAACATATTAGAGGTTAGAAGACATTTTAAAATGTAGATTTTAATTATTTAATTGAGGAAGTTTTTCATTCTGTCTGCATATATTTTGTGCTGCATTTAAGGAATAAGAAAAAAGGAAAGCTTTTGCTCCCCTTATTTTAAGACTGGTACTTGAGTGCTTTTTGAAGAGGACTTAGGAAAGTAAGTTGTGTGTGTTTTAAAATATGACAATTTGTGGAAATTTTTGTTTTAGCTTGAAGAAGTCATGGAAAAAGAAACCTATAAAACAGCTAAATTAATTCTTGAAAGATTTGATCCAGATTCAAAGAAAGCAAAGGTAAGACGGTAATGTTACTGCCATTTTATTATGAACCGCTCATTGTGTTAGGCCACTGTGGTAACGTTACTGTAATCAACAGGAGATGGAGCCGCCATCTGCTGGAGCACCTGTGACTCCAAGACCTGGACAAGGTAAATAACTTTGTAGAAACTGCTGCTGCTGTTGGGAAGATCCATATTTACCCAAGTGAGTTCCCATGTGTGCTGGTGGTGTGTAAAAACTTAGTTAGAATGCTTTTATGTTAACTTTTTCTTTGTAATTTGAGATACCATTTAGGGTAGCAGAAAATTTTATTTTATTTTAATTTTATGGGAATATGTTAATAAGTTAGAATACTGAATATTTGTTGAGATTGAATATATAATTAAAATGTGTAGTTAGCTTTAATTTTTTGTAATTTTACCAATATTTTATGAGATTTCTTCCCTTTCATATATTAATAATCTCTTGAATATCTTATGAAAAGTCTTAACATTTTATGATTTATTTTACTTCATCAGTCTTGGGGCCTTGACTGTGCTAGCCAAACACTATAGCTAACTTGCATACTAGCCCTGTGATTTATTCTTGAAGAATATGATGAAGTGCTATCAAATATGAAGTTTTTTCTCAACAATTTTATTTAGGAAAATAATACAATCATTTATTTATTTATTTATTTGTGTTTTTTTTAAAAAATGTGTTTTTTAATTTTTTAAATCTTTTTTCCATAATTTTATTGAGAAACAAATAGCAATGAGACAGTTTCAAACCAAATTGGTAGGACAGTTTCAATAATTAACACAGTGAATACTCTTTTCCTAGTGGTTAATTGCTGTACAAGATGCAGACATAATATCCTATTTAAAAACACTATTAGAACAAATCCCTCTATTCATTAAGAGAATGTAACTATATATCTATCCTAACTATTTTGAATGCACAGATACAAAATGGACATTCATCTGTAAAAAACTAATCTGTAAAAAATTCAGATTTAATTACAGTGCTGGCAATCTGTGACACGTAAGTGGGAATATTTTTTTTTTTTGCAGAACTGGGGATTGAACTCAGGCCCTTGCACTTGCCAGGGAAGTGCTTATTCCACTGAGCCATCTCCCCAGCCCACAATAATTTAGAAATGAGAAGAAAATAGAATTACTATGTATAAAATACTCTTTTTTAGGTTGTAGTATCACATTACTAGCCACCAATATTACATTATTCAATATTATGTAAGAGCTTAGAAATGGTTACATAAAATATTCTCAGTACCAACAGTATTGAGCTTATATTGATTTTCATCTTTGTTTTTTTCTCTAGAACCTAATAATAGAATTTGTAGGACTTTTGTTGGAATGTAGAACTTACTACTTTATTTATTTATTTATTTATTTATTTGCAGAACCAGGGATTGAACTCAGGCCCTTGCACTTGCCAGGGAAGCACTTATTCCGCTGAGCCATTTCCCCGGCCCCTAAAACTTACTACTTTTTAAAATATAACTTCCATTTCTGCAACTCAAGAGAGTTACAAACTGTTTTAAAAAGTTGCAGTGACATTTCTTGAAAAGCAAATCTTTTTATGAATAATCAAAAGGCCATGGTATTAAATAAGACAGTTTTAGATTTTCTGGTTGACAGGCTGTGTGGAAACAATTCCATCCACCCCATCATCGTTAAGCAGGATTTTGGCTTATAGATGTATATAGCCTGGTTTTTTTTTTTAAAGATTGCTTGTTAGATAAAAGCTTACATGATTATAATAAATTATATTTATACTTGCAATGAAATTTTCATAATCACTAAATTTTTCTACAGATTATGCCTAGTTTAATATAGAAAATTTTTAGGCCTATGGACCACATTTCTAAACAATTTTTGGGTATTGAGTATTACTTTTTCAAAAATAATTTTCAGTTTAATTCATAGATGCACAGAGTAGAGTGGCTTTCAGGGGTGAAAATGAGTGGTGGAAATGGATACACATTAGTCAAAGGATAAAAAGTTTCAGTTATGTGGATAAATGTAACTTCTAGAAACCTAATGTGCAGTTTGGTGACTGTAGTTAGCACTGCTATGTAAGTGTTCTCACTGAGTGTAGAAGAAACGGTAACTGTGAGATAATAAATGTATTAATATGTAAAAAATACTAGGAGCAAAGAAAAATAGCCTTAATGTTTTTAAATTGTGGTGTTTTACAGAAAGCTATTGCTATTGCTTAAGAAAGTTTGTATTAAAAACTCAAACTTTTGTGATGCCCTTTACTAACATTCATAAGATATTTTGCATTTAGGTAATATAAGTTGTTTCAAGAATTTAAATTTTGGTTTCTTAGAAGCTTTTGAAACCCAAGTAGTTTTTCCTTCCAGTGTCATAGTGTAATTATAGAAAACTTGCTGTTCTCTCTGGTTTTGAATATTCTTTTAGAGAGAATCAACATTTAGTTATAAACGAATCATGTAAAAAATGTATTGATAATTTATGTGCAGACACTCTGGAGAATAAAAAGATGAATATATTTTTTGATTTCAATAAGCTTAAAACTTGTTTTAAAAATTATTGCTTTTACTATATATTCTAGTATTTCTCACTCTTCTAAGTTTTTTTTTCTTAATTGTAAAAAGATTCAAAGTGATACCTAAACTTTGTTGTACTTTGGCTTTGTTTAATTTAATCTTGTTTAATATCATTTAGTTTTTAAAATAATTTTTATAGGTGACTTAGTCATTGATTTTATGTTTAAGTTGTTAGCCTCTGTCAACTGTCAGCAGCTGAAGCACTGCTCTCATGCTTGTTCTGTGTCTCTGATTTTACATTTTGACTTTAGCCTGTTTTTGAACATAACAGAAGGTAGAAAAAAGTACAAAATGATGTACATATGTACACTGTTGGCCCTGGAAAAGATCTGCTCTTCAAAATAAATCTATTTGTTTTGTGTTTTGGTGGTACCATGGATTGAACTAAGGACCTTGCGCTTGCCAGGCAAGCATTTATTCCACTGAGTTATTTCCCCAGCCCCTCAAAATAAATCTAATTATTTTGTCTTTTATTTTACAATGCTGAGTTGTTAGTGATATCTTCTATGCTTACATTGATTATAAGTTTTGAGGATAATATTCTCTAATTTGCTTAGATTTTACACTAAAAATGATATCATAGTTACTAGACAACCATCTATCCTTAATTCTCTCTTAAAATAAATTTTGTTTTTTTATAGTAATTTTAATTTATGAATTACAAAGATAATACAGAACTCTCATTTATAACAGTTTTGCCTGTTAACACGTAGTACATGTGTAGCAGTGTGGTATGTTATTGTTATATAATGTCCATAGTTTATTCACATTCTTAGTTTTTATCTGATATCCTTTTGTGATTCCAGATTTCCATCTGGATTCTCCACTATATTCAGTTGTCCTGTCTTTAGCTGCTTTTTTTTTTTTTTTCCCCAAAACCGATTAGTAGGACAGTTTCAATAATTAATACATTGCATATTATTGTCTTTTTAGCTGCTTTTGGTTATTACTGTTTTGTAGATTTTCTTTGTTTCTGATGACCTTGAAAGCTTTGCCCTGGCCTTTTTTCTTTAACAGAGAATTTATCTCAATCTGAGTCAGGGTTGCTATTTTACATGAAAGATTAAATAAATAGGTATCTGTATGTTTACACATAAAAGAGACTTATTTGCTACTTAGATGCTTAGTAATTATTTTATTTCTAAAGAAATCGTAGACTAAAAGATTTATAGATTTAAAAGTAATGAAATTCAGATTTAAATGAAAAAGGAATTTGTCATACTGTAAACTTCTAAATAGATTCTGTGAGATAAAGAAATCTAGATATTTAAGGATGGTGAGAAATTAAATTTCTTTTCAGTGTTTTAATAGGATGCAGAACTTAATTTGCTTTTTATTTCTGATTTATTCATTTTCTCCAGTAAATGTTCCATAAGTCTTTACTATTTTTAGAGGTCCTGGGGAACAAAATAGACAAAAACTGTATCTCCTTCTGTTGGGGGAGATAGACAATAAAGTAGTTTTATTTTATTTATTTATTTTATGTATTTAGTACAGGGCCTACAGGGTCTCACTGCATAGATCGGACTTGTAGTGACCTTCCTGTTTTCAGCCTCCTAAGCGCTGCAATTACAGGCTTGTGCCACCATGCCCAGTCTCAGTCAGGGTCTCAGTGCACCCCAGGGACAAGGCCAGCATGGCACACCAGGGATTGAACCTCAGTCCCTGTGTCTGCCTAAGCAGGCACTATAATCCAATGAGCTATTTGGCTGGCCCTAATAAGTTAGTTTTAGATTGAAGAAAATAAAGGAGGACTAGAATGAAGGCAGATTTAAGTTTTGGTTTTTTTTTCTCTCTTGGTACTAAGGATGCAATCCAAAGCCTGGTGGGCTTTGTGCGGGTGCTATCCCCTGAGCTGCATTCCCCAACCACACTGAAGTTTTAAATAGAGTTATTGGTGCAGATCTCATTGGCAAGGTAACATTTGATCAGTAGAAAAAAAAGTGAAGGTGTCAACCTGAAGGAGATCTCTGTGAGACCATTCCAGACAAAAGAGTGAGTAAGTGCCCGGACTCAGGCACTGAGCATGTCCAAAATGCTCTGGAATTAGCACGGCCAGTAGGCCTGAACTGGGTGAGCAGGGAGGAGAGTGGTAGAAGCAGCAAGAGAAGTAGACTCTGGGGCATTGTAACAACTTCAGTTTTCCTTTAGATTTTTTTTTTTTCCTTTTAACATTTTGTTTTCTTTTGAGCAGAGGATTGACATAATTTACAATATTATGTCTCAAAGGAAGGTTAATATTTGAGACACAGCTGCAAAAGGAGCAAAGGTGGAATAGTAAGACTAATTAGGAAGCTGTTGCAGTAATCTAGGTAAACACTGGAGATAGAGTCTTTGTTAGTACTGGAAATGTTTTCTTTAAAAATTAAAAAAAATTTTAATGTAATTTCTTTCCATTCCCCCTTCCACTAACTTAAAGTGACTTAAACATGATCTGTGTATGTTTTGAAGGTAGAACACCCAAAATTTATTCATGGATTAGATACAGAATCAGAGAAGGTGCTAAGGATGATGTGAAGGATTTTGGCTGGAGTAGCTACAAAGATGAAGTTACTGTTTAAAGAGATTATAGAC